CAATACAAGGAAGACTATCACCAAAATAACTTTAGGACACCAGCCATGCTTTGAAGTTGAAATGTGGAGAGGGAAACAGATGGGCAATATCTGGAAATTTTATTTGTCAGATATTACCCATCTGCTTCTCTCCCTACCTGTATTCTTTGCAGTAATATCAATTTTCAGGAAGGCAAGTCAATATAATCCTATAGAACGGATTTAATTTTTTCCCCCTGAAACTCATCAGCTGCTGGCAAGGAAATATAAAACCCAGACTTGATGACTAAGCCAAACAATCCCCCTGTCCATTCCAGGAGAGGCAAAGATATAGGTCAGGGTAAAATTAGTAGACAGAAACTCCCCTTATTAATCATTTCTAGCAATTTTGGCAGTTTCTCATGCAACAGACTTACCAGTTGAAGACTATTTATAAATATATATATACTTATACTTATATTTATATTTATAAATATATAAATATATACTTAAATTGAAAGTATCATGGATCACTCAAGAGTGGGTTATAGTTTTCCTTGGTGAATAAGTCTATGAAAATCAGTACTTGTTCTTTGGCAGTTATCTGATCATCTAAAAACATGCTCATTGAGTTCTCTGCAACAAGTGAATATTTGCTTAGAGTGAGTAGATGTTTTGGTTGTAATAATTAAATATATGTTAAGTAATCGTATCTGCTCTCTTCTCAAGATTCCTAGCAAGTCTTAAGTTAATGTAATGTGGCTGCCAGCTGTTTACCAGGTATCTTTTCCTCTTTCAATTGGCAGCAAGTAGATAAAAAGGGGCCCCTTAAGAAGCCAGGAGTATGGGTTTTGCCCTTTTTGATGCAGGATCTGGCAGGCCCACCATTTCTCTCCCCTACTTATCTGCATCTACAGTGTAAGAATCAACATGGTTTAAGTATCATGTTTCATAGATCTAAATGCTGGTGCACATGGTAGGAGCGTAGTGGGCCATGGTGAAGGGATAGTCCTAATGAACAGTGGGGCTGCAGTGGGTCATGGGGTGAGTTGGGATATGTTTAGAGAGCTGAGAGGGGCCGGGAAGACAGAAGATCTGCACTTTGAGCCATCTGAACTTTGTGAGACCACAACAATTCTGTGCTTCACGTCTCCTCCTCTTTGCCATGCTCTCCTTCACTCAACCTGTCACTCCCACACATTCCTATTCACCTCACTTGACCTCAATCCCAAAACCTACTCTTTCTCTCTTCACCATCTTTCCTTCCATCTATTTCCCCTTTCCTTTCCCCTCCTGAGATCATATCCTCTCCTTGTCTCCCACCCATCTTGAAGCAGGCTTCCTTTTGTGCCTCTCTGCACCAACACATTCCAGAGTGCAACTCTGGTGGGATTAGGTGTTGATGTTGTCCCTGGCTGGGTTCTTAGCTACCTGCATATGACATTGGTGCAGCGATAGGCTCAGTGGAGTTGAATGTACACATTGGGGAGGGCTGGCTTGAGGACTCATGTAGGGAGAGGTCAGGTAAGCAACATATGATAGCAAGAGTGGGGGCAAGCTTGAAAGTGCAGACATACACAGCCATCCTGCTGTTAGTTTCAACTTAGCTGGCACATAACTACTTAAGAGATTTGGAAAACCTGGCACTAAACAATTTTTGTACAATTAACATGGATACTGAGACAAGCCCTGAAAAGGCAATATTTTCAGTTTTCAATGCACTGTGGAGAGGCTCGGCTACAGGAAGCTCAGAGCTGGCAGCAAGAGAGCAGCAGGCTGCTTACAACAGTGAATTTGTCCCCGTATCTTTGAATTTTAATAAGAGGTTGATGGCTCCTGAGTGGCCTTGAAAGTAACACCACACATTTGGCTTTTTGACCCCCTATAGAGGCTAGATCACATATGAGCCTGCTACTGCCTGTTAACAGACCTTCCTTTAGCTCAAACAGCAGAGGCTCATGCTTTAAGGTCCCAGTTTAAATTTCCAGTGACAATCCATCTAGGGTGACCAGATAGCAAGTGTGAAAATCAGGACAGGAGGTGGGGGTTGGGGGAAATAGGTGCTTTTTAAGAAAAAGCCCCGAATATTGGCACTGTACCTATAAAATCAGGACATCTGGTCATGCTAAATCCATGCAGCATTGTGACACAGTGTAGACAGTACAGGAATTTGCACTGCTGTGGACCTCTGTTTGGGTTGAATGTTCCTAGCCGGAGGGAGTATGCAATCCATGCTACATGGTGTGGCTCTTACAGCGGTTTAATGAATGCTACTGCCTCTGACTTAACAGGCTGGTACTTTAGCTAATGTAGCTGAGACTCATTCTTTTATGAGTGATGCGAGTAGTTTTCAGATGCTCTGATTACAAAATGTGAACTGCTCCATTTTGGAACTCCAGGGAATATATTTGGAGTGAACAACTTTGAGCTTTTAGTTACCTTGCATTTCAACAGTATACTTTCATCCCCATGCTACTTAGCAGCCAAAGTTATGTGTTTTTGTTTCCCGCTCCCTGACAGGGATCAGCAAGAGATATTACTTCCCATAAAGCTCTTAGACTAAAATGTGACAGTGAGAATATGCTAGATTGGTCTGACTAATTTTCTCCCAGCATGCCACTAATTACATACACTGTTGCTACAAAGCAATAAACTTTCAGTGGCAGAACTATCAATGCTAGTCTTGAATTTGGGTTTTCCAGTAAGATCTGCAGAATGCTGCTACCTCATCAATGGGAAAGTGGAGGGTAGAGTGTTTTCTGTTTACTTAAGAATGACAAAGGCTGACAATTGAAGGAACATAACTGTTGTCATTTTACTGGGAGAAAATGCCTAGAATGTATGAGAAATAATGGGAGTTTTCAAAACAGTGCAAATACTTGAGCCATGTTATTTTTGATAAAACCTCAAAATGAGCAGTTTTTGCAAGGACAAGAAACAGCTCTACTAAATGTGGACTAATAGTGAAAAACACATGGGCTGTATTGTTGGATATAACAGAGTACAATCTATTGTCAGCAAAATACAGTGTTCTCTTGAATGTGAATCTGAAATGGCTGAAAAAGATTATCAACAAAAGTTAAGGACTTTGAGAGCTGAAGTAGGTATACCCAGATTTGTGGGTCCATGGCAAACTTTCCACGTCTATGACATTGCTTGACAAATTCATTATCCAAACTCCATTTAAACAGGAACTGTCATAGGAAGTTCAGATAATGATTATTGACTTCAGTGCATAAACACTTATATGAGGGTGCATTTATGCCTGACTTGAGCAAATACATATAATTGATTAATCTGTGAAATATGAAGATTATTAATTAAGAAAACTGTTCAAACTTTATGGATGCATGGGTAAGCATTCACATCAGGAAGTGCAATCTTAACTACTCAGTTTTGTGTGGATGACTCATAATGCAGTCTCTAGTTGCATTATTAAATTCCATTTTTCTAATACAATCTATTATACATTTTTCTACCTCAGATACACGTTTGTAGTAACTTTTATATGTACACTATTTTCATTGTCAGAATGTCTTAACCTGTCTTTGACATATTCAAGTCAACAAAATTGACTTTGAGTTCTTTTTCCCCCTCTAAGGTATATAGTTTAATAATTTTAATAATCTGCCATGTATTATACATTTTATTTTAATCCAATCTCATAACCTTCCTTTTGTGCACTTCAGGAGATAAGGCAGTTAACTATAGAGGGAACCAGTTGTAAATTGATTTTACAATGCCAGCAAATTTTGAAAGTTACTCATTGTAATTAATTTGTAATGCTGTGTAAGTATTGTTTAGTTTGTAATTTTCATATAAATATTTTTCATGGCTCTCTCTGGCATACATACAGTAGTACACACAGATGTGTGTCTAAGCTAGCAGGAAAATCATACTGATATACTTGCATTTCCCGACTTTTGATTGCTTGACCAGGTAACTTTAACTTTCTCTTCATGTAGCTTTTTGGTATAGGATTTTCCAATGATTTAAAAAAAGGAAAATTAGAAGAGCACACTTGAAGAGAAAACACTCCTCTCTCCAGCTCTCAGATGTTCTGCTGGCTTGCCAAAGATTCTCTGCTATTAAGCCATCACTGGAATACCCCAATAAAGGCTGGTGGAGAAGGGGGGGGGGGGGCTTGCACAGGATTAAAAGTCTGCTGCACCCAATACAAAGCCTGCTTACTCAGCCTTTGGATCGGGTGAAGCAGCATTTGACCTTTAACCCTGTATGGGGCTAGTTCAAGCATATACAGTGCTCCATGTACCACAGGAAACAATCCCCAAGTGGCAGGGAGCTGGATTAGAATGATGAGGATAGGTCTCCCCTCCTTAATGACCATGATTCTAAGACATGACTGGAGATGGGCTTTGCACCATCTTGTAATGGTAAATGGCCCGGGACAGCCCAAGCCCAGTAGGGGAAGCAAATTCCAGAGTTGAGGGCCCTTCCCGGAGAACTTTTCCCCCATCCGCCACAGACAAACATCAGAGCGGTCACGCCTGCTGTGCGGGCTCAAGGAGAAAGCGGTCTCTTAGCCTGGACTCGGGGTTAGGCAGCACCTGGGTTTTCACCCGGCAGCGCGCTCGGTTCCAGGAGAAGCAGGGGAGCGCTCCGCTGCGGCGAGCACGTTCCGCACCAGCTGAAGGGGAGGCCAGGGGAGCCCCAGGCGTAGCCCCTTGGAATCCCACCCCGAGGGCCCCAAAGCCCGCCTGTGATGTGCGTGGCGAGTGGCAGGCAGTGTGAGAGCCCGGGGCCATCAGCTTTTGCCTCCGGCCGCGCCTCTCAGTGGTCCCGCACTCCTGGGGCTCGCCTTGCTTTTGGAGCCCTCCATCCTGCCCGGACGCGCCGCAGCCAGTGCCCTGGAGAGCTCCGCTGGAGGCTGGCGCGCCGGAGGGCGCCCGTCGGCGTCGGGGCAGCAGGAGCAGGCCGCCCGGCGGGACGGAGCAGGGGCGGGGGGGGGGGGGCAGGGGTGTGTCTTCTTCCCCCGCCCCGAGGCTGCAGGGTCTCTGCCTCCTCCCTCCGCTCTCCCAGGCGGCGGCTCACTCGCCTCGCTGAGCGGGGGGAAGAGGCCGCGGCTCAGGAGCAATGGCACGGGGAAGCTTGTCTCTCCTCCTGCTCCTCGGCGCGCTGGCCAGCCGGTGCAGCAGCCAAGCTCAGCCGCAGCAAAGAGGTACCGTAGCGTTGGGGGCTGGCGAGTTGCGGCCGAGCTGTGAGCGGCGGGGCAGCGCGTCGCCATCAGGCTCAGGGGGCTCCGTTGCCCGCAGTTCAGCAGCCCCCGTCTCCGACGGACGCGGGGACTCGGTGTGACAGTCCCGAGGGGACCCCAGGGCAGGCTTGGGGTTTCGCCAGGGGTAGCACTCTTGGCATCGCCCGTGGGCCGAGGAGAGACTTGGTGGTCGGGCTCCAAGTGTCCGTGCGTGAAGCGGGGAAGCAGCCCGCTAGGGTCCGAGTGGCAGCGGGCTGCTTGTCCGTGTCTCTCCCAGCCGGTACTGATCATAGCAGGTTTGGGTCCGGTTCCCAGCCCGCCGCCCCCATCTGCGGGGCTGACCGACACTTCAACTTTTGAGGCACACCGTGCAGTAAAGGCTCCTTTCACGTGCCAGCTGAGAACTGATCTGACTCCCGACTAATTCCTTCCCTACCCTTCTCACAACACGCACACAAATCCCTGTTTCAGGAAAAAGCCACATGCCAAGTATTTCTCCTTATTCCCGTTTCAAAATATAGGGGAGATACAGTTCCCAACATTGTGAGTGACCATTTCAGACACAATACCGAATGGGATCATTGCAGCTTGAGAAATACACTAACTCCCATATCTGTAATTCACTAACCCCCTCTTTTTGTCCAATGACTGCAGAGGTATTAATGCCACTCTGTCTTGAAAGGTCCCTTACAGTATGTGGTAACTATGCTTAACAAACTGTTCCACCTTGCATGTCACTTTGATGCTGGGGGTATCTTTCCCAGACCTGAGGAAGAGCTCTGTGTGGCTCAAAAGCCTGTCTCTCTCACCAACAGAAGTTGATCCAATAAAAGATATTACCTTACCCACCTTGTCTCTCAAATACAGGAGTTGTAACTCAAAGTGTGATATTTTCTGTTATACTCACATAGTTTTCTATTGGATTTGGTAGGGATGAACTTGAATATGACTTCAGTTCTCCTGTCTTCTGTCCAGCCCATGCCCCACCTAACTTACATCTACAGGCATCTCTCTGTGATTGTAATGAAGTACATATTGAGATCTATGTAAATGCATGCAGTCTTTATATGGCATTCCAATTTTAAGCAAGATCATAGGTTGATGCAGTAGTTTCATGATAGTTTAGAAGACATGGTGGTGGTGTTCAAACTCCTAGTAATTTTTAAAATAGAGTATATCACCTCAAGGGAAGTGGGATCATGCCCTTCCCAAGTACCCAAAATGCTGTGTCTATAGTAATATTTTGCAGTTACACAGTGCTTAATTAGTAACTTTAAAATGAAAGGACAATCTTTTTTTTTTGTTTTGTTTTTTTGTTGCTAAGTCTGTATTACTATAGGTGGAAATAAGATGATGATGATGTACAGATACAAAAGAAATTTTAATAAAAAGCCACATAAAAGAAATAAGCTAAAGAAAACAAACTTTTAAAAGTTTTAGAGCCTGTTCTTCGTACCCTAACATTTTTAGCTCTGCTAAAAAAAAAAAAAAAAAAAGAGGAATTCAGTAAGGCGATACCATGAGTGTGTGATAATAAATCTATGATTAAAATAGCTAGAATAACAATGAGCTCCTAAATGACCTTGATATCATGCTATAACTTGAGAATAACACACAGCTTCAGATTCATCTAGGGTTTTTTCCTCCATTCAGGTTTTGGGTACAGGGGTTTGACACCTATTTTATAAAATATGATGTATTGTCTCAGAAAAAAGTGTCTCAAACAGCTGACTCCTTAATGCTAACTTTAACTATGTGAAGATAGATGACAGTTGACTAAAACTTCTTCGTAAAACTTAAATAGTTGTAGTAAACCAAAGGCAAGAAATCTCACCCAGCCATATTGACTACTTTTGGAAAATGACTCACTGTAAATATTGAAGAGTAAGGAAGATCTTAAGATAGAGTAAAGATACAGCACTACATACATTTGCCATAACTGTCATTTGCTTTTGCTCCGAAGAATTTAATTCTCAGCCAGAGGAACATGCATTTTGGCAGGGTTTCATTCCTCCCCGCCCCCAACCATCTCTTATTGCTGGGGAATGTGTTTTTCTTTAATCCATGTCTTGGGTTTTTGACCTCCATGATGAAGAAACTTGCTCATTACTTTCTTCTTAGGAACGAAGTGGGAGGCTTTGGTTTTCATCTCTTCAGCTGTTCTCAGATTTCATTGCCCCCGACCCCCTTCTGACAACAAAAATGACTACTCCACCACAGGAGTAGGGGCCGAAGCCTGAGTCTGCCTGAGCCCCACTGCCCTGAGTTGGGAGGCCTGTAACCTGAGCTATGCTGCCCACGGCTGAAGCCCTCGGGCTTTGGCTTCGGTCCCAGGCAGCAGGGCTCAGGCTTTGGATTTGGCCCCGGTTGGTGGGGCTTGGGCTTCGGCCCTAGGAAGTCTAATACCAGCCCTGGTGACCCCCATTAAAATGGGGTTGTGACCCACTTTGGGGTCCTGACCCACAGTTTGGGAACTGCTGATCTACTTCTTTATTTTGGGCTGCCACACTGTTAGTTTTATGCTATATGAGTCCCATTAATTCAAAGAGGAACTCTAGCACTTCTTGTAATGGAATGTTAAACTAAGTGAAAATGGGACCTTTTAGACCTCACTGCTGAATTCTAGTACTGGACTGACAGTTTTCCATTTTATTTATACTTGTCCCTAATCTCTTTTTAAGCTGGGCTACAGCTGCTAGGTGGTTCTCACACACTATAGAGAGATCCCTCTACTGCTGAAGAATGATACAGTCAACTGTACTGTGATTTTAAGGTCCAAAGTCTGATCTCAGTGAAATCAGTGGGAATTTTAACACTGACTTCAGTGGGAACTAGAACTGGCCTTAAGTTTGTAAGTTTATGTTCACAGTTTTTTTTTCCAGTTAATTCTTTATTTAATGAATAATACTGTATGGTTAATGCTACTGTGTAACTTTGGCAGCAATCTGAGAGATTTGGGGGGGAGGAGGAAACTATTCAACATGTCTTGAACAGTTTGGAAAATAGCACTAAGATGTCACATGGAATTTACATTTTTAAAGGGCAATATGGAAAGTTCAAGAACATCTTGTACCTCAAACATGAACATGAATGTAATTCTACATTTTAAGTTGCTTGGAGATTTACTGTGGTCAGAAACCTGGAGTTAATTTTGTGTATTGTTCTCTGCTACAGATGTTATTTGTTCTGTAGACTGAACAGTAAATATTTTTGGAGAATTCCTCATAAACTAACAGCATCATGTCTGGGTCAGAATAAGCCCTGGTCTACACTACAGAGTTAGGTCAACACAAGGCAGTTTACATTGACATGACTCTGTAAGTGTCTACACTAAAATGTAACATCCATCAGTATAACTCTCCCACAACACCGACTTAGCTCCACCTCCATGAGAAGCGTAGCGCTTAAGTTGATGTAGTTAGGTTGACGTCACGTCAGTGTAAACACTGCATTGTTTACATTGACTATTGCTGCCTTTCAGAAGCCATCCCACAATGCTCCACACTGACAAATAAATTGGTGCAATCACTCCTGCTGAGGATGTGCACTGCTGACACAAGGAGTATAGTGTGAATGTGTAAAACTGATTCAATTACTGCAAAGGCTGTAAATTAACATAACTTCGGTAGACTTAATTTTGTAATGTAGACTTGCCCCAAGTGTATTTTACAATGCTATTTCCTGTAGGTTTGGGTATTTTATAATTCAAGTAAAAATGCCAAGGAGATAGACAGTAGCCCTTTTTAAAGCCTGACTGGGCTTCATCCTCCTTCTAGAATATTAGAAATAGACAAATTGGTGGGAATTCAGAAAGGAGCAACAAACATCTCTATGAGCTTGGAGAGATTGAAAAACTAAGTGTCTTACTGGGGAGTGAACATAATCCTGCAAATAGCTGAAAGGTGTAAGCAGTAAGGACCAGAACCTGATACTTATGCTGAGGAGCACTGTACTCCTTATTTGTGAAGAAAGGTGTTCCTGAACATGACGAATGGCATCAGAATCTGAGTCCAAATTACCTACAATGTCTCATATATGAAATAGGAAGAAATAAATGAAAGAGAAATATAGATTAAGTATCAGGGAAAACACACTGAGGCCACAGAGGTAGAACAGTGATACTCAGTCAGTGGTTCTAGAGTTGTATGCCATTCTTTTGGGCACCACATATGGCTTTTCTGGAGTCTGATGGAAGCTCTTTTGCCTGCCTGGTCTCATGTCATTGCTGATTCCTGGAGTCTCTTGAATTCCTTTCCCCTACTGTCAGCGGGAAGGAGGAAAGGTAAGAGATAGCAGGCTTGACCCCTACCCCACCTCAGTTCCAGTAGACAGGAGAATGCAAAAGGATAATGTATCAAATGGAGTTGCAAAGAGCCATAAAGTATCCTGTCACTTCATTGTGATGCTGTCAGTGCATAATGATGCAGAGTAACAGTGATCCCCACAATTATTTTGTCACTATATGCAGCACCATTTAGTGGCATTTTTGTGACTCTACTTCATGTATTATCTCTTTGCCTTCTCTTATCTACTGGGAATGGGTTAGGGAAGGGGACAAGCATGCTATCTCTAACCTGTCCTCCTTCCTGACTGCTGACAATAGCACAGAAAACAACTTTCCCTAGTCTCTATACAGATCCAGAATCAGATAGGCTGCCCACTTGTTTTTATTGTTGCTAAGGTTCTGTGTTTGCCTTGTCCTGTTCAGAAAAGTTATTACTCTATTTATATAGAATGACTGCCACACAGCCTGTTCATGGGTTCAATTCTGCAAGCTCACTCTGTGCAGAACTCCCATGAGCACTCAGATACCAGTGCAGTGGGCACAATAAAAGAACCCAGATGTTAGGATCTGGCCCCAAAGCATGGAAACTTCAGGGAGTTGGATTAATAAGGATACAGATATATCTGTTAATATGAAGGTCCCATTACAAATATTAAATCTTCAGAGTATTATGTGGATT